GACTGCAAGACTACAAAGATTTATAATCAATTAAAAGTATTAATTAAGAAAATAGAATACAAATTATTAAATTAGATTCAAATGATGTTTTAAATATTGCTCCAATCTTTAATATCGTATGACTGCGCAATCAGGGTTGTCAAAACAACTTTTTGTTCGTTAACGGCTCGCTAAGCAAACGAGTCGAACACGAACACATTTTTTAAGCTCGAAATATAAATGAGTCTAACACGCATGAGCTCGCCCGTGTTCGGCTTGTTTGCACCCCTATTCGTTATCTTTAAATATCTAAAAGATATTAGATTTTGTGTTCGTAATCTAACATTATTATGAAAAGATATTAAACTTTTTTTTTTATTATTTGAGAAGAAATCTTTTGCAAACTCATGTCTTAAGAAAATTTAAAAAAAGAAGAAAAATATGTAGTGGTCATAATTGGGCACGCATTTTCTGTTCGGACAACTGACGTACCTCTGCGTGCGGTGCAGGTTATTCCTGAGTTATTTTCAGGTTATTTCTGGATTATTTTGGGATTATCCCAAAATATCCCAAAATAACCCAGAAAGTATCCAAAAATAAAGACCGCGGGTTATTTCTGGGTTATTTCGGGATTATTGAAAATAACTCGGAAATAGTCTGAAAATAACTCAGGAATACCCTGCGCCGCACGTGAAGCGACATCAGTAGTCCGCAGAAAAAAAATTTTTGCATAACTTTTGGTCGGCCATAGTTTAAATTAGAATACAATCATTAATTGGACGCATCATAGGTTAGTTGGCGACATTAATTAATTTTCGGATTCCATCTGCAGTCAGCAACTTGAGATATTTTGTTTATTAATTAAAAATTGGTGCATTTACATGCATACCCCCCAATTCTCATGAATTTTTCTTACAGCCTAAATCTATCATATCATATATAAAATTCGCAAAATTTCAACTTTTAAATTTTAACAACGTAGACCATTTCATTTATATGCAAGATGACATGTAGGTAACCAGATTCAAATTTCATTGAATCGAATGCTTTTGTAGTGTCACGATGTTAGTGATCGGGTGGTGGTTAGGGGTGTAAATGAATCGAACACGAACGAACAGAGCTTGTGTTTGTGTTCAGTTCGTTTGAAATAAGCTCGTGTTTGAAATTGTTCTTGAAGTCACTGTTCGTGTTCGTTTCTTAACGAACGAACCAAACACGAGCCGAACACGAGTTGTTTGCAAATGACGAGTCAGTTTGACATCCCTAATATTAATATATATAAATAATATATTATATTAATTATATAATTTATATTATATAAATAATTTTAAAACATCACAATTTTTTTTAGTATAATTATTTTAAATTATTTTATATTTCGAACAATAACGATTCGAACACGAATGAACGAATAATTGTTCGTTTTGGTTAATTTAACTAACCGAACGAAAAACAAATTTTCACGTTCGTCTCGTTTACTTATCAAACAAATCGAGCATGAACTCATTGAAGAACCTAACACGAACTGTTCGCGAGCAACGAGCTTTTTTGACAGCCCTAGTGGTGGTAGCTCAGGAGCTTTAATTCAAAGCTTCTAAACATTAATTGAATGGTCAAACGTTCTCTCAATTTCACATGTTTATGGTGAATTTGAGCATCTCAATGAGATGTGTCCAATAAATTTATGATCGCTTAATTTTAAAATTATCAAGACACTCAAAGCTTAAAAATAATTTACCATCAAAAGAATCGTTATGGACTGTTTGAACGAGCGTTGCTTTTGGAAGCCCGATATAAGTCTTGCATTCTCTCTACATTTGAAGGAGGACGATGAAGCTGCAAACTTACAATATGTTCATAAAGAGAGCGGCGAGAAGTAAACCATCACAAGTAATTGTCTATCACAATCGGCAGCCAGTGTAACTCAGCTATAATATTTGCGTACGTAATACGTACACAGAGTTGCGTACATATTAGGTTATTCAGAGGGTACATGCGAGTTACACTTAGGTTACAGAAAGAATTACAATGGGTATAACCTAAATGTAACTCACCTGTACCCTCCAAAAAACCTAATATGTACTCAACTCTATGTACGTCTTACATATGCAAATATTTCTCTATTGTATGACTGTTATATCTATGTTGTTATCTTATTACTATTTCTAGGTTGTTGTTGCTCACTTATCACCACTTAATTAATATAGACATGTAACAATCTTTATTGCAATAATACATAAATAAATAAGTATTATAACTTGATCTTAATTGAGAAAAATAGTAGAATTTTATATCATAGTCAAAAATAATAAAGTATTTTGACTTGGCTACATGTATTTATCGAGCTTTTTTTTTTATTATTATTGAGAATTTTCAAGCACAAAACAATTATTATTATTATTTATACCATCATTATATATGAAAAATGAAAATTTTATTTGATTTAAGATAAAGCATGTATTTTACCGGCATTTTATCAAATATGATTTTGATGCATTTTTGAATATATAGAATATGTGATGCGAACGAAATTGTTAAAAGTATGAAAAAAAAAAGTATTAATATTATTTTTATATTTACAAGCATACCCCGCCATGTGTTTATATATCTGACATCTAAACTTTGATTTTTACATTTATATCATTTTACTTATGTTTAAAAGGGTGTGTATCAGATTTTAAAAGTCAATGACATGAATAATTTAAAAATATGTGTTATAAATATTTAAAATTGATAGACCACCAACAAATTTTCATCATCTGACACGAATCTCGAGGTATGACACGAATCTCGAGACTATATTCTAAGCATGAAACATTCAAATCTTGATAAAAAGTCATCTGTAGCTTCGATTTCAACAAACTTATAGTCAAACTGACCATCTTGATGAGGGATCCAATAATATGAGAACTAGCCCAATCTGAGTCAAATCAAGCCCAGATCGAGTCATTGAACCACACTTAAATGATTTCCGAACACATTTGGAAAATCAAAGAGTTGTCGAATATGACAATTTTACACTCGAATCGAGCGGCTCAACAAGACGAATCCAACGAGCCCAAGATCACTCAATTTTGACATCATTAAGACACTCAAATGTCCAGTAAACGCCGTATGATCGAGGGAAACTCTCCGGATCGTCCGATCAAAATGATTCATATTCCTGCATTAATTGCACCAAAAACACTATAAATAGAGTCTCATCTCTCTCATGAGGGTGGTTGAAGTCTGAAGAGTGAGCATGAGATCTTGAAGAGAAATTGTAGTTCAGCATCACCATCGATCGTCTTCGACCACCGCAGACCTCCATCGTCGACCACCCCCAACCTCCGTCGTCAACCACCGCCAACCTCTGTCGTCGACCATCTTCGATCATCGAAGACCATCACTGATCGTCGTCGACCTTAGCCAGCTGTCATCGATCACCACCAACCAGACGTTGACGTAATCTGAAAAATACAGTTACTTTTTCCCGTTTGTGGGATAGGAGATTTTTGTAATCATCAATCAATAGTAGATTTTCGCAGCTGAGTCAGACCGCGTGGTTTTTCCATTTACGGGCTTTCCACATAAAAGTTTCTGGAGTAGTCACTATTTTTTTTTTTCTTCTCAGTGCATGTAGAATTCTCGTATAACGCTAAGACGATAATTCATTACTCTACTGCCGTGAATTTTCTGGGACACATCAAAGATACATAATAGTTGTGCGGTATGTATGGAAATGTCCCTTTAAAATAATATATCTTACACGCTGATGTAAGACCGAGCCTATAAAAATGATGCAGTTGTTTAAAAAAAAAAAGAAATATATAATTATAAGTTCAATTAATTAATATAAATTTTATAGAATTTCCACCAAATCATCATGGCAACCAAACGCATCAATTTTTGCGGCTAAAGCTCAGATTCTCTTTTAATACGACAAGTAGAAATTGCTTCACCGAGCCCATGAGCAAACAAACGCCGTCATGAAAACATGGGCCTTACAACAAGCTGATTAAAGCCCGTTCACCACGTTGGGCTGGATAACAATCTTTTGGTTGCTTTAAATATACGTTGCTATTTGGGCTCGCCGAAATGAACACGTTTTAAGAATAAAAATATAAAAAATAAAATTTGTTGGGAGCTGGTTAGGCAGCTGACGATGAAAGGACTTTTAACGGCTGTGATGATGATTGGATGACTATAGACGTCAGCAGTTAGATGAGGATGCTTCAACAATTAAGGTTGTGAGTGGGCCTAGTTTAAGCAAGCAAATTTAAATTGGCTGGAGTCCAAAGTTACTCGTGAATTAATTTTAAGCTCCAACTTGTCCAGTA